GCAGCCGAGTACTTAGCCACTAGACCACCGTGGCGGGGCGACATTTGAAATAAACGTTTACTTGAAGTTAAGCGCTTGTGTTTTGTGTTCCTATGCAAAAGTTGTGCACTTCCTGCAAAGATTAGATCGCTCGTAGATGTACGTTGTAGTAACCACTTCTAGTTGGTTTTACAAAGTGCTCGCTATATGGCGTTGTGTATACGTGTCCTTGGAAAAATATAAAGCGGAAATAAACAGAAAAAGAAAATGGGCCCCTGTGGCTGGCATTTTAAGATATCAAGAGTGCGTATACGATAGCGTGGTTCAAGAGGACCTGTGGAGAATACTGGGTACACTAGGTGTGTATGACGGAGTCAATGTTTTAAAGGATATCTATAATAGTAACATGGTCGTTATAAACTGGAAAGAACAGGTACGCGAACGTATAGAAATACAACGCGAGCTTTCGCAGGGATGTTCTTGTCACCTTCGTTATTTATGCTGTATCTGCAGGGACTAGAAGCCAAATTATAGGGGAGTCAAATTGTCTTTAGCCTCTCTTTTGCCAAGCAAGGAAAACACGTTGAATAGTGATTACCAGCAAGAATGTATGCAGATGATATAGTAATTATAGCCGACAACAAGGAAGATCTGCAGGCATTGATAGACATCTGCGGTAATGAGTGAGATAGGTTAAATTTGAAAGTTCAGCAGGGAAAAATCGGCTATCACAATTTTTACTGATAACGAAGACAGGGAGCATGGTCACGCTAAAAATAGGGCATAAATACAAATATTTTGTATAGATAAATAACGGGGCTGAATACCTAAGGGTGCACAAAAGCTACGTATAACTAGGGTAGCAAGAATGCAGCTGTAATGAAAAATAGGGCACAGTAGAAGAACTACAACAAGTATGACGTTGTGAGAAGGATTTGGAAAGGTGTCATGGTCCCGGGTCTGATGTTTGGCAATGCGGTCTTGTGCATGAATCAAAAGTTCAAGCAAGATTGGGAATTCAACAACGTGGCATAGGCAAACTTGCTTTGGGAGTACAGGTTGAAATGGGATGGACATCGCGTGCGGGAAAGCTAGCAGCACGACAGAATTTGAGGAATGATTGAGAAAAATGGGAGAGGAGCGTTTGGCTATGAAAGTTTACAGCTACTTGTACATGAATGTTGATACTACGTGGATGAAGTGAACTCGAAAATTGTCAAGCAAGTATTTAGACATCAGCAGAATACCAAGCCTAAAGGAAACATCGGTTAAGAAGAAGACTAAGGAAACAGAGGGACACGTGGAGAATGGGAATTCTTATGAATACATCACCGGAGACCGACCAAACTTTCAAGCAGAAAATTTCAGAAGAAAAAAATCTGATAATTCACCGGGTAGTTATCTGCTGTTCAAGGCCAGAACAGGAGTATCGCACATCAAGACGTACAGAGCTAAATACCAAGGCACCGGCATGTTATGTAAGTGCGTAAGAAGAGGAAACGGCTGAACATTTGGCGATGTTCTGTAAAGGGCTCCACCATGTATAGTCCAAGATAAGGGCGCGGAATTTTTCAAAGCATGAGGGTTCAAAGACAGTGAAGGCAAAATAGACTTTAAACTTGTAAAAATAACTAGGAAGAGGATGATAACTGATTGGTGGCTACAATGAAGGCGCGAGTGAAATTCAATCTAACACATCATTAAGTAATTTATGACTTGGCGGCGTGCGCCGCGGCTTGTTCTAAAGAGCCCAGCCGGGTACATTCATTCTTGGAAATATCACTAGATGCCGTAAGTGGGCTTTCTATGATAAATTCCCAGCACATTCACCTAGTGAACGATAATGAGTGGGGCGAAGCGTCCGTCCAAAGCGTGCTCTAGTGAGATAGGAGCAGTCGGACAAACCGATGGACGCTTCGCCCCACCAGTCACTCACTCCGTGAATATGCCGAGAATTCTTACGCTTGTGTAGGAAGCGCAGAATGCTGCGGAGGGAATTACCATAAAGAGCGCGTACCTAGTGTGTGGTATTTCACACTAAAAAAGAAAAACAAACCTAGCATTCTACAGCTACTGTCATGCAGCTATGCGGGATCAACACAATAGAACAAACGAATTTGCTATTCGTCATCATCAGCTTGACTGCACCCGCTGCAGGGCGAAAGCTTTTTTCATGATCCTCAAATAACCCAGTTTTGTGCTTTATACTGCCACAATGCACGTGCGAAGTTTGTAGTCTAATCAGCCCACCTAACTTTCTCCCCTTCCTGTGTTTACCTTCTCTAGAAATCCTTTTTTCTTTCAATTGTAAATTACAGGACAGTTACTTCAAAAACGTTCAGAGTACTTTTGTAGCACTTACGGTTCTTAGGAGCATTGTAGTTGAAATAATCAATAGCTTGTGCTCAGACATTCATGCCGATAAGTGAGTACAGTTGATAAGCAAGCATCAGCCCAAATGATCCTGCAGGTTTAGCAACATTGACAATACAAAATCAGTGAGCACAAAAATAGAATAAATTTATTTACAAAAACCTTACTCTGAAACAGCAGGCACCTCATTCTTAGGTGAATGCCCCAAACCTAAACATGTTTTTTATTCAGGACATTCATAATAGGCTGGTAAAGCACGACAAGAGCGCAAAGTGGAAATATTGCATTTGACCAGTTCGAAGTACCAGTTTTGCTCTCATTGTGAATCATGGCTTTGTGGGCACATATTCATTTCACGAATGTGCTGTATTAGCCCTTTGCTGGTTCTAATATCTACAGCGAAAGCTGGTGTGAGACAACAACACTGGTCACACTGGACGGACAACTACCACGCCGCGCGTGAATATAAAGGCAATTTTGAATTTGAGCCCAGGCACAATTTCACAGTGTTCAGTGAGCAATATGTTTTGTTTATTTCTGTATCAACATAAATAAAAATGTGCGCTGCAACAAAGAGCACAAAGCTGAATTATTCAAAAAAAGTCTTGAAAAGAAAATATTGGGCCTCAATTTTTTTAAGGAGCAGACAGCCGAAATGCATATCTGCTCTTTATGTAGTCTGTGTATGAAAAAAAAGGTAGCAGAAATACTGATGGCTAAATAGCCGTTAGTACAACCTGCCTTGAACGATGCCAAAGCAATACATAAATATACAAGCAATTGCTCACAACAGTGCATTGAGTAAAGTAAAAATGTACATACTGTCATTAAGCCACTTTTGGGGCATTTCATTGTGAATGCATCGACGAACTTTTGCTTCATGTGCAGGAGGCTTTCACAATATGCCTTAATAAACCTGCAAATAAAAATAGAGATAACACATGTATGATGAGACTGGTGATCATAAATACTGATGAATTCATAGTTATTGTATACAGTATTTAAAAGGCCAATTTTCAACAGTGCCTCATTGATTTATACATAGTCTAAAGAGGTTAACCTCACAAAATATTTGTGCTTGTTTCAATTCCCTGAACTAAAATTTGATGGTGTGAAAATTATCATTAAGAAATCTTACGCTATGCATATGCGAGATCGCTGACAACTTAAGCATTAAGTTGACAAAGTCATCCACTTACTGTTCCAGATCCTCATACGATCTGCTATGTTACCTGACATTCGAAGTAATTGTGGTTGCGAATTAAGATTTCATTTAGTGAGAGACTCACACTTACGACTTTTTTAAACAGCTTACAGTTTCGCATACCTGCGTGTTGAATTATTGTACAAATGTTATGTTGAAGCATGAATTGTTTTGATCACAAAAGCAATGAATTCAGATCTATCGCAAAGCCATGCGACTTCTTAAAAGCATCACATTTCCAAAATTAATTCATTGCACCTTTGGCTGTCTGGTTTGATGTAAATAACAGTACATTGGCACATGCCCGAGTGTACAAGCTGAAGTCGAATAGTTATATCGACCACAGCCATTAAAGATACGCTCGTCAACACTCTGGTACGTAGATTAGATGTGATAAAACACATCTCTGTCCTAGTGTATGTACGAACGTTACGCAAGACCATGACCTAACTGCCTTTACAAACATTTCTGACGAGTTGATATTAATTGCACAAGAACTCAATTCATCAAAAGAGTGATCCACCCTGTAATATAATTCACGCAAAACCTAATTTCAACACAGACTGGTACTTCAGCTGCTTCGCATAAAGTTCACTTCGACAGCGCATGAGATGGATTTTCTTAATTTCTCTAAGTGTCCTTTCTTCTTGAGATAGTTAGGGGTAAGTTCAAATATAGAGATCACACACTTAAGGTGCAGGAACTGACCAAGAGGAGAGTGCAAAATATTGTACTGACCCCTCTGTGTATACCTGTCCTTAGGTTGCCAGGATGGCGCCTTCATTGCCCGGGGGTGATGGTAACGAAGGCGGTGGACACGGAGCCGTGATTGCAGGCTTTCATCCAGTTAGCCCTTGCACAAATAAATCTCACATTCCTAGCCTTCACCGAGTTAAATCCTGTTTCTTCAATCTCCCGTGACAAAAGATTCATAATCATATGTGCACCTGTGTAATTGGTTGGACCAGTAACTAGCCATACAGGCTAAGATTCCAAATAGTTTGCAATAACTTTTTGCATGAAGTTTATTGAGTTACCACTAATTGATTGAGTGAAATCTGATAGGGCGTCCCTGTGTTATCATTTACGCTAAATCTACAGTGGTGTAGTACCCTGAATATTTTTTTTCATGACGCACATACATGCTGCTCAACTTATTCCTGGCAGAAGCACCAGATGAATACCGTACAATATACTTTCAGGTGGTGTGAATCCTGTGGCACACCGTGCTTGCTAAGGCACATGCACCATCTTCTACAAACCATTTCTTTTCAATTTTAAAACGACCGAATAGTCATGATATTGTACTTCTGTAAGGCTGTACAAGAAAAGTGCTCTTATGCTTGCTATGACACACGCATTCTCATTTAAGACCATTTGGTTTCAATTGTAACACGACAGGATGATCGTTTTCAACAAAAGCAAGGAGTTCTGTAACACACCATACTACGATACACACTTTATTCAAGACCATTCGCTCTCAATTGTAAAATGACAGGATAGTCATTGGAAGAAGTTCGGAGCACTTCTATGACGCTGTAGAAAGTGTGAAAGACAAACGGAGTCACTCCTAAGACCATTTGCTTAGAATTTTAAAAGGACAGGAGAGTGACTTAAAAAAAGTTGAAATGCTTCTGCAGCACTGACTATTCACAAGAGCGTTGTAGTTGGCACCATGGATAGCTTGTGCCCAGACATCCATGGCGAACACCGAGTACAGTGGAGGAGCCAGCGTCAGCCCTATTATGCCTGCAGGTTTAGAAACATTGACAAGATTAGGAAGCACAAAAATGCAAAAAAAATGCGTTACACCTAGCCCCTTTTAAAACTGCTGGCTTCCAATGCCTATGTGAATGCCCCAATCCTCCCCGAGTTTTTATTCCAGAAAGGACATTCATAATTGTTAAGTCAAGATGACAATGGGAGGACACAGACGTAGGCGGCTAGACAGAAAGATTTGTATATAGACGTCAAAAGTGCCTGCTGTACGCAAAAAAGTGCTTAGCATTTAATATGCACGATTACCGATGCACGCATTGTGGTAAGCGCCACTGGAAAGTGGTTAACGCTAGTGACACTGACAATAAACAAGGGGGAAAATCAGGAAACAAAGCGTACATGGGCAAGCACACGCGGACGACGAAGCTCGCACGCTCGTTTTTGTCCAGACTGCACTTGTGCTCTAATGTTTCTCGCTCCAACAAAAGGGAATTGAACACCTTATTGGTTACCGTCGATGATGAATTCTGGAGAAAATAGTATTAGGTTATAGCCCTTGATTTTAATGAGCTGATTTAGAAGCATCTAAGCTAGCTTAAGAAGCGCAGTCTATTTAGCAATTGTTCCACAAGGTAGTCTTGGCAAAGCAGTATATTGTATGTTCAGATAAGCATCAAATTAATATATGTATAGGTATTGGCCTATGCTGCGTTCTCACTTCAAGCCGACTGTCAGCAAGTGGATACCCGTGTGCCTGGTAAGTGAATTAGTTGTGTGCACATCGGAGGTGTTACCAGACTAAGCTGGGCACATATATCTTGAATTGGTATTGCGATAGGATACATGATGCTTGGAGATACACACCCAAGATACTGCTGCATGCAACGATTGTATCTGATGCAATTCTCGCCGGTTATGTTCTAGAATACTTTGATATATTCGCAAAGCTGTTGTAGACACTCATAGCTAGACACTCACGGCAACGTTCTTCAGAACAACATGTCTAAGCTTGCATGGATTATCGTGCAGGTCAGTTTTCACACCCCTAATTCATCTGTCCGTACTAGTTGCTACGCGCTTTTGATTCTGCCGTGCCCTCGGCAATGTGCCCAAATTGTTGACGATTGCTGGTCTGTCTTAACGATTTTGCTGTGTGGTGATGTGGAGAGCAACCCTGGTGCAGATCTTGAGGAACTTAAAAATAGTATACTAGCTGAACTAAAACAATCTAAAGAGGAACAAAAGAAACGCAACACCATACTTTCAGATATTAACAAAAAACTTTCCAAACTAGACGAAGTATTAAAGGTATCAAAGGCGAACGAAGAAAAAAAAGAAACTAGAGGGAAGAATAGAGCGCGTAGAAAAAGCCCTGACAGGACAAGACAAAAAGCTTATCGATTACGAAGATCGTTCAAGAAGGAATATTCGGCATACCGGAAGGACCAGACGAAAACAGAGAAATTTTGGAAGACAAAGTTGTTTCTAAAGTTTTCCAAGACACCCTAAAGGTCACAGTTACTTCCGTGGAGCGCATTCATAGAATTGGACGGGTGAATGAACAACGCACAAGGCCGGTCATTGTGCGGTTGTACAATTACAACGAAAAACTTGCTTTTCAAGAAGTGTAGCATACTAAAAGATTCGGGTGTATCAATATCTCACGACTACTCGCAAGCAACACTTAAGCTACGAAAAAAGCTCTGGAAAACAGTAAAGGACAACAGAAGTCAGGGTGATAAGGCGTACTTAGTTTATGATAAGCTTTACATCAATGGTGACGTCTACGTATGGGACGAGCATCAAAACCGTAGGAAACTGTTACGCAGCGCTGCGCGCTCAGAAGATTGACATCACGGTGACGAGCAAACCTTAGCGCACAAACGGCTTCGTTTGATAAACCTCAATGCACAGAGCCTGCGGAACAAACAAGAACAGTTTGAACATGTTCTGCTATCCTATGACCCTCACATAGCCGTAATTTCAGAAACCTGGTTGCACCCTGACGATCGAGATAGTTGCGTGTTTCCGCCTTCATATACGTGCTATCGTAAGGATCGCAAAACAAGGGGCGGTGGCACTGCAGTTCTTGTCAAAAGTGGTGTGCCGTCATATCAATTGCCCGAGATTGATGTCGACCACGAAAGTGTTCTTTGCAGATGTGAATTTGTAGGAAACCAAATCATCGTCGTAGGTCTGTTCAGACCACCCAATGCTGAGCCAGATTTCTTGTTAAAACTTTACCACAAGCTAAATCAGTATCGCAACCAAATTCTTTTAGTTGTTGGGGATTTCAATCTGCCTTGTATTGATTGGGAAACGCTAAAGTGCGGCCCAACAGACATACTGAATTCTGAAAATTTTCTGGACATGCTCTTGGCGTTTAATCTGACCCAAACCGTTTTACTTCCTACTCGGGTGACAAGCTGTACGTCTTCAATTCTAGATCTCGTCTTGTGCTCCTCAACTATAACTGACATTACCACCGATATTTGTGAGGGAATTGCAGATCATAAATTGGTTTACTTTACGTCATTGCTCCCACGTCAATCCAACCCACCCCAATACAAACCCATTACTATAAAGCAGTACACATCTGCAGATGATGTAAATATAACTAATTATCTCGAGGAAACCATTGTTTTGTTTGATGATAGTGATGACATCAATACATTATGGACAAAGTTCAAAGCGCACTGTCATTTCTGTATCCAGCATTTTATTCCAGATAAAGTGAAAAAAGTTGGCAGGACGAATCCGTGGATAAATAGAGAAATAATTCATGTGAAACGCAAATTAAAACGCTTGCGGAAACGTTCCAATGCTGCTCAAGCAGACATTTTTGATTTACAGGCTACATTAAAGTCCAAATTAGCTGCTTCTAGGGATCACTACTTTAATGTGACACTCAATCGTTTTGTATCCGAAAGTCCTTCTTCTAGGGATCACTACTTTAATGTGACACTCAATCGTTTTGTATTCGAAAGTCCCTCTAAATTTTGGCAATTTTTTATCAAATAAGGGTGGCACGAGGCTTGATCAAATCGCCAAGGGTGATCGGGTACTTACTGATTCAAGAGAAGTGGCGGAGGTGTTTAACGAGTATTTCCAAAGTGTGTTTTTAACGTCACATCCTTTAACCGGGGCTGTTTGTGAAAATGGTGATTGTGGTGTCATTCAGATTTCTTTGGAAGGTGTCACAGAATTGCTTTTGCGATTGGATCCGAAAAAATCGACAGGCCCTGACGATATCCCTTCCGCATTTCTCAGACGCTATGCTACACTGTTAGCCAGGTTCCTTGTAGTCATTTTGCAGAAATCCGTTTCGTCCGGTGCGATACCCGATGATTGGCGTATTGCACGTGTGACTCCTGTGTATAAGAAGGGTAACCGTCTCAATTTTTGTAACTATCGGCCCATCTCTCTCACCTGTCATTGTTGTAAACTGCTGGAACATATTATCGCAAAATACCTGAATAACTTTCTTCAATCCCAAAATATTCTCACTGAGCACCAACACGGTTTCAGACGAGGTCTTTCTACTACTACGCAGTTATTAACTACAATTAATGAATTTGCGAAGGCCCTAGATGCTGGTAGCCAGGTTGACGTGATCTTTTTTGACCTCTCGAAGGCGTTCGACAAAGTTCCCCATAAAAAATTAATAAATGAACTGAAGTCAATTGGCGTTCCTTCAGATATAACAAATTGGGTCACATCTTACCTACTAAACCGTAAACAATACGTAGAGATTGAGGGTTCGCGCTCGCGTTTTTTAGACGTTTTTTCCGGAGTACCGCAGGGGTCCGTACTCGGTCCTGTTTTATTTAACATTTATATTAATGATTTGGTTCAAGCAATAGATACCAGCGTATCAGTTAAACTGTTCGCAGACGACTGCATTCTTTTCAAAGTCATAAACTCAACGGCAGATCAACAAGTTTTAAACAGAAACATCGGTAACTTGGAAACTTGGTGTTCCGAGTGGAACATGGTAATTAATCTAGAAAAAACTGCTCACTTGTGTATCACCAACAAAATCAACAAGTTTCACTTTAAATATGATATAAAAGGGTCACAGATTACACAAGTCGAAGAATATAAATATTTGGGTGTTACAATAACCTCAAGCCTCAACTGGACAACCCATGTAGTAAATACATGCTCTTCCGCACGTAAAAAACTAGGGTTTCTAAAGCATCGAGTAGCTAATGCCCCCAGTTCCTTAAAGCTTAAAGCTTACAAAACAATGGTAAGGCCTTCCTTGGTGTACGCCTCCGTAGTATGGGACCCTCACACAAAAAGCAATATACAAAAGATAGAAAAAATTCAGCGCCTAGCAGCCCGTTTTATTTACAGTAGGTATAGACGCCGCGATTGCCCCTCTGCGATGTTGCAGTTGGCAAATCTTGAACCTCTTGAGGACAGACGACGAGCTGCTCGACTTAACTTACTCCGTCTAATATATTTTTCTAAACTCGAAATAAAGCCAGACAAATACATGGTAAAGGATTCTTCCAGGCCTTCCCGTCACAAACACAGCTGTAGCATCAAGCCAATTTTCGCAAGAACTAATTTATACAAACACTCTTTTTTCCCGAAATCAATCTCTGAGTGGAACTTGTTGCCCCGAAACTCTACTCTTCTTTCCTTTTCACCATGAAATGCGCCTTGTGTTTCCTGGCTTTCACAATACTTGTTTGATTTAACAACTTGTGTGCCTAAGAGTGTGGTGCTTTGCTTATGGATTGTGTTGCAGTGGGTGTACTCAGCCCTCTGGAAACGAGTATAATTTGATGGTGATTTCTATGTTTTTCTTACATTTCGTGTATACCAGTATGAATTTTGTTGTAACTTTGTTGTACCTTTATTTTACCTTTGAACTTGCTGTACCTTTCCTGCTTGGACCTTAAATGGTTCGCAGTATATGATAAATAAAAAAAAATAAGAAGTGAACTGAAATGCCCAATACATTTTTCATAAAAATAGGTTTAAAATACCAGGTATGCAATATTCATAATGCTTAAGGC